GGAACTGGATGGGTTTTAATATCCTTTCCAAGCCAAACCACTCTGGGATTCTGGGATCAGTAGGGTTTACCCAGCTGTGTAATGAGTTGTCTCAGCAGCTCTAGGAAATAATAAAACAACTCCAATTAATACAAAGACTTGAGGAGAAGCAGGGCCTGCTCTTCCTCTGAGCAAGGCCAGAACTGTCACTTCAAACACACTTCAAAGGCCCACTGCCTGCCTAAGATCATTTGTTTCACTGTATTTAAATAACAAACATCAACCAAAAAAAATTATTGAAGTCTGTTCATCCTCCTTGCTGGTGATAATCCATCAAAAGTGTGAGGAACATCAGGAGCATCCTGCTCTGTAGCCACCACAGCCACTTCTGGAAAATCCTGCCATTAGGGGACTCCAGATCTAACAGATCAATCCTTCTAAATAATTTTTAGGAGTTTTTTCTTTGTTTTTAATAGATGCCCCTTAAAAAACCAAAAATCAGCATACACAGATCTAAGCTTCCCTCTCCCAGCTCAATAGGGTCTCTTTCTTTATACAAGCAAAGAAAATTCAAATGCAAAGATTTTGATGTTTACGCTGGTGTTTTTTAAAAAAAACCTCCAGCAGGTGCACAAATTGTGTGTTTCACAGGGATTTAGAGTGTAATCCCCTTAGGCTGCTCTGAAAATTGCAGCCTATTCTTAGTTCCTGCCAGTCCATGTCAGCAAAATGGTTGTTCTTCATTATGATATTTTAATACTTGGGAGTGTTAATTGAGGTTAAGCTCAGGTTGTACCCAGAATGCTAAAAAAAAATAAAATTAACCTGACAGAAAATGAAAGTCTTCTGAAAATAATACGGAAAAATGTGTGAAAAACTGGAGATGAGATCTCCTTTCCAAAGAGAGACAGAGAAGCTGAGCTCACCTACATCCACCCTTGCTCCAGAACCTTTGAGGCCAGGTTGGACAGGGCTTGGAGGACCCTGGGACAGAGGGAGGTGTCCCTGCCCATGGAATTTTGTGGGATTTAATGTCCAACCAAACCAGTCTGGAATTCTGGGATTCCATGACCTGTCCAAGCCCTGCACGTCCAGATGGAAACAGAAAATACAGGATCTAAAGAAGAGGATGAAGCTCTGGAGCAAGGGCTCTTCCCTCAGTGGACATCAGAACAATCACATCCAAAACAGGCTGAAACTCCAGGAATAACCCCTGGGAGCAACACCAGGCCAAACACAACTTCCATTTCTCCAAAAAGGCGACAGATTTTCTGGAGGAAACTTTGCCTTGTGAGACTTGACATTTGAAAGAATTTATTTTTACCCAAAATAACAACTGGTTTAGTAATGAAGGACAAAGTTTTTGGTCTCTCCCCTACACTGGAATACTTTCCAAATTATTTTTAGGAGGAAGGAAAAAAAGCAGCTTATTCAAACACTGCATGGCACAAGGAAAGCATCATCACCCAAAACTCTGCTCTCCTTCTCCTGGTGTCCAGACTCTGCTCTCAAATCATTCCAAGGAGTCCAAACTGATGGAAACTCTGTTTTTCAGGAAGTCTGAACTGAAAATCATCCTCATTGCCTAAAATCTGCATGGCAATGCTGTGCCAGTAGTGAAATCCTTGCTGGCATGAAGGAGACAAATTCCATGCAAGTGTTTGTGTAGATAATTATGTGAAAACAAGAAAGTGAGACTCCAAAGCCCTGAGGTATCAACAGCAAAATTCTTTCATGAGGCGTTTAATTTTTATAGAAATAATTGAATTTACACTGTTCTAACACTCACATAATTCAGTCCTGGCTAAAGAGCTCTGAAACAGCTAGATGGAAACCAAACACTGGGACACCATGGAGTGTTCTTGGGGCTTTCAGGGAATTCTAACAGGATCACTCAAGAAGGAAATAATAGAGAATATGCAAAAATCATCTCTTAAAAGCTAAAAATACCCAGGAAGGAAAAACTGCTTTAAGAAAATTTAATCAAGAATTAAATCCAACTAGAAAACGAATATATCACTGTAACAAGTGAAGACTGAGAATTGCATAGATGCTAAAACCAAGCAGAGCTGAATGTATCAGTTGAGAGATCAGGATTTCAAACTCATCATCCAAAAACCATCTCATTTTTAAATAATTACATTCAAGGATGTAAGTATTCATTTTCATCAGCATAACAAGTCAGCCTTATACCACCAAATATGCTTTTAAGTACATGGAAATCTAGAATTATTAAGCATTTAAAGACCATCAAATCACAGAATGGTTTGGGTAGGGAAAACCTTCAAGATCATCCAGTTCCAGCTGTTTGCAGGGCTACAAAGATGAATGAAAAAGTCCCAACTGGAAAACAACTTTAAACAAAAAACCAAACCCAGCTGGCACCAGCACAGGGTGTTTATGGCTTTACCTATAAAGAGCAGAGCCACATCCCTCTGAAGGCAGCTATTGACTCTTCTTTATGTCCTCAGTAAATAAAAGCCTTCCCCAACTCATCTCTGGATTTTAAATGTTGTATCTTTAGTTAGAGCTTTTAGGAGCTGATCAATAGCTTGGAAAAAAACCCCTATTTTACAAGTGTCAGGTTCATAGTAGGGACAATTTGAATGTCAGCTTCTGCTAGGTTTGAAGAGGGGAAATGAAAATCAGGAATTGCTTCTCGTAGAGAGGATCGGAGCAAATATAAACCAGGAGTAGGGTTTTCCCATAAGGAAGAGCACACCAAAGGGACATTTTGTTTTCTGTGCAATCTTCTGCACATCTGAAGGAGGGTGGGTTTGATGCTGTTTTGGTTTTTGCCTTTTTTCCTTTTCTATGTCCTCTGTATTCTCTGCACATATATTTGGAGCTCTGTAACCTGTTATATTAATGCCTAAAGAACCAAACACCTCTCCATGACTGTTCCCTAGACAAAAACCAGCACAAATTGCAGCACTCCAAGCCCTGAGAAATACAAGACCCCTATCCTAGGTTGGTTCTTCCTAACTACCAAGGTTGAGAACAACTCTTCAAGATAAATTTCCTGGACAAAGTGCAGCTTAGTGCCTAACTCAAGAAAAGGGATTTAACCTAGAGAAGATTGCACCATCCCTTGTCCTCCTAATCAGCACATTCATCAAGTCTGTTAATTTCCTAAAACTTATAAAAATGTACTCACCACAGTGAGGGTCGACTTTTGTAGACATCTCTCCATAACTGTCCCTGAAAGCCTTCAATAAAAATCCATTTTTATATTACCTCCTACCCTAAATTTATCTCAAATTTAATTTTCCATGTTGGGAAAATGACAGCAGAGTTGGATGGGATATAGGGAAGGAATTTTTCCCTGGGAGGGTGGGGAGGGGCTGGGATGGAATTCCCAGAGCAGCTGGGGCTGCCCCTGGATCCCTGGCAGTGCCCAAGGCCAGGCTGGACACTGGGGCTGGGAGCACCTGGGACAGGGGAAGGTGTCCCTGCCATGGCAGGGGTGGCTCTGGATTGAATTTTAAATCCCTTCCCACCCAAACCATTCCATGGTTCTGTGATGTGGCTTTTGTGTGGTGTTCAAAATCAGCAATGTAGTTAATGTGAGCATGTTCCTCTGATTAAAAAGCAATTTTGAGGCCAAATAACAGCCACCATCTAAGAACAGCAAGCACTCCACATTGCATTTTGCTTTTAGAAGGAAAAAAAGTCTTAAAAGAAGCAGATTCACCCTCTCATGAACTTCTGCTGGTGCCACCACGGTGCCAGGAGCTGCACCCACAGCCCAGAGCCTGTGGCTGTGCCACCACCCCAGCCACTGCTAATCCTTAGAATCATAAAGACAAGTGACACAGGGCCAGCTGATCATTTTCTGAGCTACACAAACAGCCTGCAGCACCTCACAAATTCTGGTTTTCCATCCTGGGGACAGGCAGTCAAACAGTTGGTGGAGAATTTCCCATTACCATTTGATATTACATAGGCTGGATATTTTGTCAGGTAAAAATTAACCTTTTTTATTTTCAAATGCTGGATTTTTTGGTTTTTTTTTTTGCTTATTGTCAGGACAGCAGAGGAGCTCTGTCCCTGCAAGGGCAGGGAAGGGGCAGAGATGCCCCTGGTTAAGCAAAGCAGCCCTGAATAATTGGAGGTCAATCAGCTGAACTGCCTGGGCTTGAGGCAGAACCTCATTCCCTGAAGGAATCCTGACTTGGATCTATTTTCCACATCTCCAAAGTTCCCTGGACAAATTAATTCCCCACTTCTTCTAAAAACAGCTTTGAAGAAATGTTGCCAGCACTTGTTAGTATGTAACAAACTGAAATTAACTTCAAGAGTCTAAATTTGTGATTTTACAAAGAAAAATCTAAGTACCAATGCACAAATATTGGATTAACAATTTTAATTTTAAACTCATCTGCATGCCAGAATATTCACGTTCACAGGCAACTGTTCTATTTTTATAAAATACATTTCTTTTAATGAAATTTCTATGTATTAAAAAATACCTGCATACCTTAAAAACCCCTTTTTAATTAAGAGTGGCCAAGGCAGAGACAAGCACAGGTAACTGAGAAGTCACTGCTGCAAGAGACTTCAAACCAGAGTGTGACAAAGCACAGCTGCAGGCTAAGAGAGCACAGGAAATGTCATTTCAAAGGCATCTTCTTCCTTTTAACACACAAACATCCCTACAACAAATCTTCAGACCTCACTGAGAGGCACAAAATTCCTAACCAGATCTTATTTTGCATTATTATAGTCTTTACACTCCTCCTGATATAATGGATTTTGTGTTTTGATTTATTGCTTAATGCTCAGAGTTTGGGTGGAGTGAAAGTGGAAAAAATATTAATCCACACCAAAGAAGTAATTTCTTAATTTAAGCTGAATGTGCCATTTTTGGTGCTATTTTCCTAATGTCTGGATTTTTATATTCAATGATCAAGGTAAAAAAATAATCCTGAAATTCTGATTATTATGACAATGGTCATGGAAGGCTAAAACTTGTTAAAATAAAGAACTTTTTTACTGATGCCATGTTCTTGTCTTTGCAGGCTTTCCTATCGGACCGGCCAGGACACGGCCAATTGTGACACATGCAGGAACAGTGCATGTATTATCTACAGGTAAGTGAAAAACACCAATATTCCCGGTTTTCCCTGGGGGAAGGCAAGGATTCAGTCACTAATGCAGGCTCAGAGACTGGCCTTCCAACCAACAAAACAGAAATTTAACTCCACTAAAGTCACAAAATTCAACATTTGTGGAAGTGTAAATCAGAGATGATTGCGGGCACAGAGCTGTGGGGTGGGAGGTGTTACAAGGTGTGAGCTTTGGTTTTAAATTGCTGGAGGTATTTCTGATATTCTGACCAACAAGTCAACTTCAATTTTACTTTTATACACTTCTGTAGCTACTTTAGATTTATTTTTATGGCAATGATTTGGGAAGTCACTTGGAGAGAGGGTTTGAGCAAAGAGAACAAGATACAGATCCCATCTACAGTTTTAGAGTAAAATCAGGGATGGATGGGATATTGGAAAGGAATTGCTCCCTGGGAGGGTGGGGAGGAGCTGGGATGGAATTCCCAGAGCAGCTCTGGCTGCCCCTGGATCTTTGACAATGCCCAAGGCCAGGCTGGAGCACCTGGGACAGTGGAAGTGTCCCTGCCCTGGGGCTGGAATGAGATGAGCTTTAAAATCCATCCCAACCCAAATAATTTAATTTTCTGATTTTATAAACTGACATCCCTACCCAGTTTGGGTTTGTTGTTTTCTTTTTGGCACATCCAGTGAAGGAATGACAGGCACTGGGCATGAGGTGAAGCCATCATGAGGCTGACAATGTTTCACCCTGGCAGCTTCACTGCCCTCCTTCTCTGGAGTCCCAAAAAAATCCACCTGACTGTTTGCAGGGCGAGTGAAAACAAATGGCTCAGGGTTTCAGCAAATCAGCACTAATGAAAATGGACAAATACACCAATTCCAGCAGAGACAAAACTCAAATGAAGTCACCAGTGTAGGATTTCCCCCCTCACTCCTTAATTCTCTGCTCAGCCAGCTTTAGGCAGAAGAGCTGGAGCTATTTATTTATGAGTTTTCTCTTCACTGCACAGAAGAAAAGGAAAAAAAGGATGGAAACCTCCAGCTCCACCTTACAGCTGACCACAACAGGGCTCTGTGCAGGGCCAGAAACCAATTAATGTCTTTGTTCCTCCTTTCCAGCCAAGTTCAGAAGCACAGAAACCCCCAATGCCTCCTGTGCCTCCTTTTTTCCTGTGCAATTCCTGCCTCGGAGCAGCCTGGAGGTGCAGCACAGCACAACTCCCATCAGGGAATTCTCCTTGTTTCATTAGCTAGGAAAAAAACCCAATTAAGAAATTTTTGTAAATCTTCATTTCTACTCAGTGGATTTCAAGTTAAGGAAACTTCCAGCTTCCATTTCTGCATTCAATGTGAATGAAATCCAGAAAAGCAAATTGGGAGAGTTTTCCTGTTTAGAGAGGGACAGCTCCTGCTGCCCATTCCCACCTGGAATCCCTCGGGACAGCTCCTGCTGCCCATTCCCACCTGGAATCCCTCGGGACAGCTCCTGCTGCCCATTCCCACCTGGAATCCCTTTGGATGTTTGCCTCAAGCCCTGTTTGCAGGGGATTTTTGAGCAAACACCAGCTCAGCTTTGTGCCAGTTTAGGAGAATTCCTGCTGCAGGCAAGAAATCAGAAAGCAGAGATGCAGCAAAGCAGGGGAGGCAGGAGCAAAGGGGATTATGGAGACAGGATAAGCCAGAAGGGATAAACCAGGAATTCACGGATAAAAGGAGCCCTGGGATGTCCTGGAGGAACTTCTGAACACCTCTGGGAAAAGGCAGCAGCTCCCGAGTCAGGCTGGGATTAAATCCAGGGCCTCCTTTGCCAAGGGTGTGCGTGGAAAATGCTGCAGGGAGTGACCTGAGTTCTCTTTAGGGCAAAACAGCTTTTAGGAACAGAAATTAAAACTGCTCAAGGAGCCAGAAATCCCTGGGTTCTTGGAAGGCACTGGACCTGTCAGCAGGAGGCTCTTAGTCTTGAGCTCCTTTTCCCAATTAACACAGGAGAGATTTAAAATGTATATGTAAATAAAATTAATTTATCCCATATAAACATATAATATGTGTAGTTATGTATATAATATACATGGAATTCCCATGTATATTATTCCCAATTGTATCATATACTATTATATTATTATAATAAATATTATGTCACCATAATAGTAAATAAATATTATATTATTATTATTATAATTATATACATAAAATTAATATGTCCCATAAGGGCATTAATATATAAATAATGCCCTTATGGGATGAATCAATATTTAAAGAGAAATCCTTCACTTTACCTTTAATTGAATCGGTGTTTTTTTGGCTTTTGATTCAACTTTGAAGATTGTAACACTAAAAAAATATATTTACATCTGTTTCAAATCTTTATTTTCAAACAGCATCTTAAAGGAATGGTTAAGTTACCCAAGTGCATCCTGCAGTGCCAGGTAGAGCACAGGTGAGGAGGCAGAAATTCATGGAATTAAATTCTTCCCTCTCAAGATGAATCTCAGTGTATTGATATAATGGAGCACAAAAAACAGAGACAGTGGAGAAGGCAACAAAAAAACCCTGCTGTGCTTTAAAGGGTTTTTAGCATCTGAAATATGAATACTGTCAGGAAAAAAATTCTAAGAGCCTTCTGGGAATACAGTTATTTTGCATATTAAATGTATTTTTATTAGTATTAAAAATCTATTTTATATTATTTTGTCTTTATATTGAGAAGAATAAATATTTCTTAAATAAAAAATGAAAATATTTCTTCTTAAAAAAAGGAAAATCACATTATTTCCTCATTTTTTTAAATAAAAAGGAAACTGATCAAATAGTAAACAGTATAAAAAAGACAAATTAGCAAAACCTGAAGCTGCTTTGAAAATCAGGAGGAAAAGAAAGACATTCCCATTTGGATATTCCATTTTCCTCAAAATTCTACTTGTTTCTGCAATATGTTCAGGAACTTTGAACTCCAGAGCCAGGAATCACTCAGCTTCTCTCACTGCACCGGAGCAGCCACAGCCTTACAACTGTCAGTAAAAAATACTATTTGTAGCCATGTTCAGGCAGAATTTAAAACATAAGCCAAAACTGTGATTAAATTGTAAAAAAACCCAATCACTTTATCATTTTATCCAGCAGTTTCAATAACCATGAGGTCACAGAACACTTCCAAAATCATCTGCTACAAACACAACACAGATTTCTGTCTGATGCTGATTCCCCATGGACATTTTTTAAAGACAGAAAATAAGTTTAATCAAGGGTATTGCCAGGATAAAGTCAATTTAAACACTGAAATATTTAAATATAAATTCTGTATATGGCAGTAAATACGCAGTTTTTACAGTGCAGTAAAACTTGCTGTTAAGAAGGAATTGCATTGAAATGCACAAACTGCAGCAATTCTGAAAAACCCCAAACCCAGGTAGACTGAAAGCTTCCCAGGCTGTTTTATCCTGTAATTATCTTTTCCTGGACCTGCCCTTCCTGCTCCTGTTTAATTTCCCATCCCATGTGAATGTTAATCCTTGAGCAGGAATCTGCAGCAGAAAATGGGGTTTCCCTGGAATATTTGGAGTGTTATTCTCAGGATTTTAGCAGTAATTATTTCTGGGAAGGAACATCTTGTGGGATTCCTCCTGGACTTCCCTTCAGGCAGGAAGGTCATGAACTTCCAAAAGCTTTTACAAGGAAATTTCAGCTGCTGGAAGGAAACTTCTAGGAGCTGAAATCCCAATTTCTGACTTGGAAGGAAAACAAATCCACACTCCACTATTGTAGTTCCGTGGGAGGGGGAAAAAAAAAATCACTCAAAGCTGTCTCAACCATTAATTTGGCTACTTTTTACTCCTTTAAAATGTTGATTTATGCTGCTGTGTTTTTAGTTTTTATTAATTTAATATGGACTCTCACTATCCAGGAGAAAATATATTATTTAAAATCTATAAAATAGAATTCAGTACAAGAGGTCAAACAGGTTAAAATATGGGGATAAAAGTTAATCAGGCAGCACAGAGCCCACACAGAAGAAATTCACTTTTAAAGGTTACACACTTAAATATTAATTATTCAAATTAACAAATGTGGCAATAAAAAGTGAGCATAAGGCATCAATCCTTAGGATAGCAGCAATGTTAGAAAATCAGGTGGTTCAATGCTGAGAATAGCAATTTTCATCACCTTTTTATTTCCTACCCACATTAATTAATTTACATTTTCTCATCTTATCTCTGGACTATAAGACAAAAAGTGGATCTCAAAGGCTCCTGAATGCTGGCAGTGCTTTGGATCCCAGGCTGGGCTGATTTTTGGGCTGAAATAGGAAATTTAGCAGAGATTACTGGGAAGGGCACTAAGCTCATTTTGAAGTGACTGGTGCTCCTCTGGATCCTGTTTTTCCAGGATGTGAAGCATTAATGCTGTGTCATCCAATTAATGCGAGCCACAAGGTGGAATTCTGTAATTCCTGCCTCACCTCCCCATGGCTCAGCTGCTCCAAGAGCCTGTGTGGGGATGAGAAGGGAAATTCAGATGTCACCTGAGGGGCCCAGCTGGAGGGGGAGGAAAGAGGATTTCCCTGGAGGCAGAAAGAGGAAAAAACTGCCCAGAGTTTTTTTGGAGGTGTCAAGAGATGAGTGGAGGAAGGAGCTGGAGCTGCTGGAATGAGCCCAGAGCAGCTCCAGGATGATCAGAGGATGGAGCAGCTCTGCTGTGGGGAAAGGTTGGGAGAATTGGGATTGTTCAGCCTGGAACAGAAGCTTTGGAGTGACCTCATTGTCCCTTCCAGTGCCACAAGGAGCTACGCACAGATGGAGGGAGACTACAAGAGTCCGAGGGTACAGGACACAGGGAATGGCTCCCAGAGATAGAGGGCAGGGATAAACGGGATTTTGGGATGGAATTTTCTCTGTGAGGGTGGGCAACCCTGGCACAGGGTGCCCCTGGATCCCTGGCAGTGCCCAAGGCCAGGCTGGACACTGGGGCTGGAGCACCTGGGACAGGGGAAGGTGTCCCTGCCATGGCAGGGGTGGCACTGGATGAGCTTTAAGGTCCCTTCCAACCCAAACCGCTCTGGGATTCCATGATTCTCTGAAATCCCTCAGCAGCTCCATCCTGAACCCAGATTTCTCTGATTCAGCAATTTTCCAGTAACCAACAGATCATGAGCAGCTAAAACCTGAAAATGATCCATGACAACAACGTGTGACTGTGCTAGAAAGTAAGAAAACCCATCCATATCTCAGAGCTTGTTGCTCCAAACCCTCCCACAGTCCATATGTTTAATCCCAGTAGTTCTCACTCCTCAAATTCTGATCTCAATCCCTCATACAGCAACTAAATTAGAAAAGGTTCTCTGCAGCCTGCATGCAAAAGTAAACTCATTAATATATCCTGTCAAACACAGCAAGCCAAAACCAGAAAATTCATCTCATCAATGCCTCAGGTCCCCTGGAAGGGGCTCCAGGAGAGCTGGAAAGAGACTTGGGACAAGGGATGGAGGGACAGGAATCAGGGAATGGCTTCCCACTGCCAGAGGGCAGGGATGTATGGGATACTAGGAAAAAAACCTTCCTTGTGAGGGTGGTGCCAAAATAAAATCAACCAAGGGCTGCTAGTTGATTTTATTTGGCCCAATTTTCCTGGGAAAGACAGCACTGATGCAGAGGCAACTGCCTCAAAATGGGAAGTTTTGGTTGCAGACTTTAAGTCGATTCTGGGGAGAAAACACGAATATTTATCACAAATAGAGTTTTACTGCTTGTAGTTTTTGATAAAAACAGTCCCTCTGTTTGGAGGAAGAATTTGGAACAGGCATTAAAGATGGAAAAACTCTCAGTGCTCCACATTTAACAATATTTAACAAGATGGGAAGTGAAGCTTTAGGATGTCCTGACCAGGTGTGTCAGGCCAAGGTTTGTGCTATTAAATAATATTTAAAATGCATCTCTTGTTTCTGTGGGGCTTGTTCAGAGATGTCAGCCTATTGAAAAATATGATTCTATTATTAAAGAAAAAATGCTTCTGAAGCAAGTAATTCCCATCTCCGTGTGTCATGCCAAGAGAACAGGAGAGTCCTGGATAATTAAATTAATGGAGTTATTATGGGCAGGCTTAAGGGACAAAATGCAAGTTTGAAAGTGAAAAGAGGCACATGGCAGGAGGATATTTCAGGAAAAGGTCATTTGGAGAGAGGACACCTGGAGATGCTGAGGGGACAGAAATAGCACGGAGCAAAACAGGATTGGCAGAGCTGTGACAGGTGACACAATCAAGCTCAGGAATGCAGCTCGATAAAAAAATATCAGGAAGTCTTACAAATATGGAATATTTGCTGAATTTAATCCCTGGAAGTGGCCAAGGCAAGGTTGGAATTGGATGATCCTGAAGGTCCTTTCCAACCCAAACCTTTCTGGGAACCTGTCAATGATTATGATTTGTAGTATTTCATATGACTGATATAAAATTAAACAGCAAAAATAAAGTTAAACAGAAAGATGTGTGAAAAATTTATAGAAAATCAGATTTTTGTCTTATTTCTGCAACACACAGGGATAAATTAAAGCCTAAGTTTGCAATCAAGTAATTTGCCTGATGGAGCAATCCCATTAAAACACCTCCAATGCTGGATAAATTGATGCTGATAGACACCAATCAATTCTTCTTCAAAATTTACAGTTCTAAATGCTGAAATAAGACAAATGTTTTTCCTTCAGCCTCTTTATACCCTTCAGAAGCAAAATGTTTCCCTTGGATGTGAAGAGCTGAAAGCTGATCTGTGCTGCAGCAGCAAAAGGCAATAACATGGGGCTTGTCAGATGGACCAGAACTAAGATGCTTTTTTTCCACTCTTGAGGTCTCTCTTTAATAGAAATTGATTATATAAAAAAATTACTCTCCTCAGCAAGGGGGTTTCATAACAATTTCTTTTTTTACAGCAATTTTCAGCAGCTCTTAAGAGCCTCCCTGTAAGAATAATGTTTGAAAGGAGTAAAAATGAACTCTGGCAATGCCAGAGCTGAAAGGCCTTTTTATTTTTTCCCAAAAAAATTTGATACTGAGAAAAAAACAGATACAACACATGCTAAATGCTGCACTTTAAATGAGATTAGTGAGCTCTTAGAGAAGGACCTCCCTCATTCCAAGATTTTCTGTCTCACTGACAGAATTCCTGTGCTGGGACATTCCCAGTGAGCTGATATCCACATCTCACCACTAAATTCATGCTGAACTTCTCTAACCAACTATTTTTGTGCCAGCCACACAGCACACAGAACATGTGAGCAGTGAAGACAACATTGTTTTTCCAAGAACAAGGAGGGATATTAATCAGTAAGCTTGGAATGTGCTTCTGCACCAATATAGCTGCCTCCTGAAAATTCACCATTATATACTTCCAGCATTGAGCTGAATTTTTTAAAAATTATCTTTGATTTGGAAGGGCTTTTTATTCATTAAAAACACAGCAATGGGTAAAATACTCTGTTTGAATTCTTACCTATTGTATTTCTCTTCTCTGCTATTGAAGTTTCTCCAAATCACTGAAATGCCAACACTTTCGCTAAAAATGGATTTACACTCAAACCAAACACCAAATCAGGCACAGCCAGATGTAAAAAGACCTCACACCTTTCCAGCACCCCTTTCTGGGGCTCCACCAGAGTCCTTGCAGTCAAAGTTACCAGCTCTTAAAACAAAACCAAAGCACAAAATTCTCCTTATCCTTTTCTCAGCATCTTTGATTCCTAAGAGGAAAATAAACCCACCTAAATCAGGAGGTGGTATTTGATTACATTCTGTGCTCAGTTTACAAAGCCTGTATAAGGTGAAGTCCATCCAAATTTCTCCCTGGAAATCTTGGAGGTCTTTTCCAACCTTAATGATTCCATTGAAGAATTCCCTGGAAATGGCTGCAGGTGTTCTGTGCCACATCCCTGCTCTCCTTAAGTCAGACAGGGCTCAAACTGAAGTTTAAAGTAATCTCTTTATGGATGAGACCTGGGGAATCAGATCTCACTTCTCCAGCAGTTCACTCCAAACAAGCAATGGCAGAAATACCTCAGGAAACATATTTAATCCTAATTAAAAGTGAATTCAAACTCAGGAGTGATGAGTTCACATTTAGATAATGATAAAAGCAGCCAGTGCAAAGCCCAAGACAACTCAGCAGTGGAGGGGGACAGGGAAGAAATAAATTAATCCAATTGTCAAAATTCCCATAATTTGATCCTTTTAAACTCATCCTCTGATATCCAGAGGCCCCATTTCAACAGGAATCCTTCAAAGGTCCCTTCCAACCTCATATATTCTACACAAGAATATTCTACACAGGAACAGCCTCAGCACAGAATATGGCCAGAGGCTTCTGCACCAACCCAACCAAAACCACCAAGTTCTGGGTAGTTCTGAGGGGCCAAAATTCAGTTCCCACCATCAGACAGGATTTTTGCTCCATTTTATGCTGCTGTTCCTTTGGTTTATAAGGTGGTCTCAAAACGCTCTGCAGCACAAAGCTCAAATAAGGGCTGGAATTTAATCTCAACTGTGGCTCTTAATTGCTGGAAGGATTTTGTAGCCAGCAGTGTTTGGAATTCAGGACAGGGATTTTACAGCTTCAGTCTGTTTTCTGAAGGCAAGGATGCACTGTAAAGGAGAACTGCTTTTTAATTGATCTATTTATTCCACACAGGAACACAAGTCTATAAATACAACAGGAACTTGATGAAATTAATCTTTTCCATGGTAAAAGTGGCAAGGAACAGCTGACGTAAAGGATTTCTGGGACAGCCTCCTTGCTTTTGGCCAACTTCTCAGCTTTCCCCAAAGAACAAGGATGCATGTGCCTGGCTGCCACCCTGACCTCCCAGAAGGGAGAGTTAAACTGGAAGCATTCAAAAATAATTTCTCCACCAAAAAAATGTTGTACTTTTAGTGTCCAGTCACTTCCCAGCACCTCCAGCATAATCCCCAAGGACCCTCCTTAACAGCAGGGAAAAGCTGAACAATCCCATTCCTATTTTTCTTCTGTAATATGTCCTTTTTTGAACTGCCCCTTTCCATTTTCATGCAAGAAGTATTTATTGACTTCCATAAATTAAACACTTAGACATTGGGTTAATTAATTTTTTTTATCATCATAATTAATGAGTGCTTTTCTCTTCCCATTTCTAGCGTGGAACTGGATTTTAAACAGCAAGAAGATAAACTACAGCCAGTTTTGAGAAAACTTCATCCTATTGAGGAAACTCAGGTTGCACCTTTGCCTTATTCTCAGGAGAGCTACTCCTCTACTCCCAAGCAAAAATCCAAAACTGAGTCAAAAAAGCATGGAAGATGGAAACTCTGGTTCCTTTAACCCAAGTCCATGACGTGTGGAGTTCAAGGCCTTCTTTGACGAATATTTGGAGTTGTTTCCACCGTCTCTGACGGGATCTTGGTGGAAGGAGCAGCGTCCTGGCCAAGGGCAGCGTCCAGTTCTCACCGCGTGTACCAAAAAGGCCTTTGTAGCGACGGACTCACGCCCAGGAGCACGGGCTTGGGAGCCCCCTGCCCACTTCTACTTGCAGTTTGCCAATGTGGGATGTAAAACCTGAATGGGAATTTGGACAAAGATGGGAAGTAAAACTGTTTCCCTCCCCTCCTCAGATCCAAAAGTGTGGCGCTTCAACCCGTTAAAGCGTAGGCCGGCATCCTGCTCCCCCAGGAATGGTGGAAGCCTTCTGGGGGTCTGGGTTGTTGTCTTTGGACAGCAACGAGGGGGAAAAACGACGAGCAAGCCTTATGTTTGCAGTGGTGTTGAGTTTTACAGCTCCATGTTGATCGGGGAGTGCAGTTTTCAGCACAGAATTCCTGGACAAAGCACAATTTTTCCGGCGGCCCGCGGCCGCGCCGATCTCCGAGATGTGACTGTGGTGTATTCTCTGCCTTCATGCGATGTAGACTCCAACCAAGCTCTCACATTTCAACCTCATCTCTGGTTTAGCTGTGTCCTCACCACCAGAAGAACCACTCTGCTGCTCAGCCCCAGCGGGGCAGCAGCCAGAAACCTCCCAAAAATCAGGCCCAGCCTTTAAGCACCTCCAGCTCACAGGGTCCAGGCCATGGGACAACCCCTCAGTGTCACCTTGGAAAGGTCTCACCCACAAGGAACAAAACCCAACCCCAAAACAGACCCATCCCAATCCGGATTGTTGGCCTTTGCCATGGGTTAGTATTTTTTTTCTAACAGTCTTTGGAAAACCTCTCCACTGCTGCAGAAGGCACCAGGAGATGTCCAGGCTGCAGCACTGCTTGGAAGGAGCTGAAATTTGAAATGCTATTTATTTATTTATTAAGCTGCTCAAATGGGCTTCCTAGCTTATTATAATTTATATCTCGATCTATTAATTGTACTCAGTAATTGAAACACTTAGGAGAGACATGTGAATCAGATTTTTCCTAATTTGGCTTGGTTTTTCTTGAAATGGCACTTAAAATTTTGCTCTGACTTAAAAACTGCAACTTTTCCTTTAAGTATTTGCTACTGCCATTAAACTTGCATCTAAGATGATCATTGGTGGAAAAATTCCTCATGCTAGAAGTGGCCAAGGAGTGGGAATCTTGTCTTTTGTTTTGGTTTGGGATTTTTCCCTAAGGATTTCAGATAATTTGAATGCCATGTGACAAACTGGGTTTGAAATTGCATCCCCTGTAGCATAAGGAAGGTACAAATTCTTCAGCCTTTAGGTGCAAGGACAGTGATCATTAATTTGCACAGATCAAAAATTTGGGGAAGTGTTTTTTCTTTTTCACTGTTTCTCCTCTTAGCTCAGCATCCAATTTACTCCTGAGAGGAAACTGGAGGAAAATAACCTAATTTTTTTCCCCTCAAAGAGCAAGAAAAGCAAATTAAAATGGGAATGGAAATGCAGAAAATGCCTATGGCCAGCTCAATATTTGCAGTAAACCTTCAAGAGGGCTACGAGTTCTTGCACAGAAGCAAATCCTGAAATCCTCTGGTAGGAGTTGAAGGATTAGGAAGGTGATCCTGTACACCAGGAAGGAAGTGCCATTGTTTCATGTGGAAAAAACCCCGTATTTCGTATTTTATATTGTTTTTAACTAAAATATAGAACTGTTTACAAGGCGGCCCACACATCATGGCTTAGAAACCCAAATACTTCCAAACTAAAAATACTTTTTTTTAAAGCAGAAATGAATAAATAATTAAATAAAAAAGGGCGGAAAAAGGAAAATACAGCAGTATTCATTATCAAAAAAGATTAATAACTACTGCACTCCTCCATGCTAACAGGCCTAGTGTTTGGGGTTTTTTAAAGAAATTAAACCAAGCATCTCTCCATGGCAATCAATTCCCAAATCCTCAGTGCCACCCCTCAGTAGCTTTGTGTGTGCAGGGACCCTGAGTGATCCAGAGCTCCTGGAATCAGGGGGAAAGATGGAGGAAACTCCAGCTGGAGAAACAAAGAGCTCAAAGGGAAAGTTCTCACGGCGTGTTCTGTACATGTCCAGGCTATTTTCTTAAGAAGTTGCAAATTTTTAATTTTTTACATTTTTTTAAACCTGGGGAAAGCTGACATTACCATAGAGTCTTGCTTCCAACTGACATCTCGTGTTCTCTGGTACCCTCCGATGTACTTTGTAATAAAATGTTTTTGCAAGTGTGTAAAATGTATCATAATTGTATTGCCTTTAGAATCACTCAGGCTCAGGTTAGATAGACACCAAGAGAAAAAAAACAACCTCATTCTTTAGAGCTTTTAGTTCAATGTGACAGAGCTATTTTCACCCTCATGTAGAAGATCTTGGAGGTTCTAATGAGGAAAATGGGGTTTTATTTTCAATGTGGCTTTGCTGGATTCACTGGCAGTCCCCTGCACTTCATACACTGATTTTCTAGCTGCACTTCTCCCATCTCCTGCTTCAAAATACTTTTTAGCCAATAAATACTGCAGTGATTTCATATCCCTTGCTCTTTGCTGAGTCCTTATAATCTCCACACAGCAACAGTTGCATTCATTCTTTGATTTAGAACTAGGAGGAAAACACTATTCTGTGAGTAGCACTTGGTTTCTTAAAGATGAAAAACAAAAATAACTGTAAAAATATTTTAAAAAAACAAGATAAAGTGAAAAAAACATGATTAAAACTGGAAAATCCTACCACGGGTACAAAGTGTTTGCTTTTTCTTGCCTAAAATGCAAAACCACTGTCCATGCCTTTGATTTCACTTGATGTTTTAAAGGTTAAATCACTTTTTCTCTATCAAATAGGGTAATTTTTCATTAACTTCCCAACCACGTCAGCTGTTGGATTACACCAGGACCTGTGTATCACCACACATGATATATTGCTGCTGGAAGCGAGCTGGAATTGCACCAGAGTGCCACTAAAAATCCAACTGCCCCAACACCATTCTGTCTGGGACAGCGAAAGGGAGCTGCATGAAGATTTTCAATATTCCACAAAAGCCATCAGTGGTTCATTAAAATAACTGGAGTGCTACAAATGTGTCCATTTGTTTAGGTGAGTGCAGCTCATTGCCATAAATGTTGGTAGGGAATGTTTGACAACACAAGCTCATTGCCATAAATGTTGGTAGGGAATGCAACAGGGATGGTTTGACAACACAGAGAAAGATCAGTATTAGTGATGGAATAAAATCATGGCCACTATCCAAACATCAGTTTCAGTGAAATCAGCTTGCAATATGTAATTTCAAATGATTTTGAAAGAGAAGAAAACATGTGACTGAAAAAAGCAAAATGTTTTTACATGGAAGAAGTCTGGTGAAGAAAATGAGGTGTTCTGCCCCACATTTTGGAATCCATGAAGCCTGACCTGGGCAGATTTTAAAGCACAGGAAGGTAACTTACACCCAGATTCAACTCCTGAATAACAAACTGCAGCTCCAGAAGCCTCCTGTGACATCAATAACTCTGATTTCAGGCTTGCACCTGTATTTTACATCCTTCTGGAGAGGCCTGCTGGAAAGCCTGGAAGTGCTGAGAGATGGACAATCCACCATGGTGACTGACTGATTGACTGATTGATTATCCAGAGCTCCCCCATCAGCGCCACTCTGCTCTACATGACCCTCATCACTCTCCTTGTGTCAGGCGTCGCCTGCACCCCACAGAGATTCCCCTTCTCAGCCTCCTTCCAGAAACCTCAGATTCCACAAATTCCCTTTTTCTCCTTCTGATGGCTCCTGCCTCATTTCTCTTCTGGCTTCACCTCATCCTCATCCCAGAGCACAGAGGGGAAAGCAGCAAAGTGGAGAAGATTCCACTCATCAGCAACAGCACCAAGTCCTGTCCAGTGCTTCCCATTCACACACCCCAATACCCAAAATAACCCATTTTCCCTGACACAGGAGTCAGGAGTCACTGACTTTGTTCCCCACACACCTTTAGATGGTTTCCAGAGCCACTCTCCTTAAAAACACTCTTGGAAGTTAACACCACAGGAACATGGAATGGTTTGGGATGGAAGGGACCTTAGAGACCATCACATTCCAACCCAAATCTTCCCCTAGGCCAGGAGATTTCCTCTCCGAAATTACAGAGCTTGGTTTCCTTTGGAAATGAGGCACATCCCAAGCTGCTGACACGAGGAGAAGGAGCAGCCATGGATCATTCTGGAGCTGCCACCGAGGCTGCTCTGTCCTGATTTACTGGAGGAGGCCGAGATGTTCCCTCACATGGTTGTCCAAAAGACACCAGGAAAGGAAAGAGAAGGTTTAAAAACACCCTTCCAAAGGCTCAAGGAAGTTTGCTGAATTTACTTTTTCTTCAGGCAACGTGTTCTCCAGTAAGAAAGGTTTTGTGGTTTTTTTCCAGGTGATTTCTCCCTGAGCAAGGAGCAGCAGCAGCTCAAAATTAACCTAAACCAGGCAGTTTGGAGCAGCAGGACAGCTCAGCACCCTCAGGCTGCATCCTGGACTAATAATAGAATCATTACATAAAATAAATATTAATAATATTAAAATCTTCTACTCAGAAAATGGATCACGTAAAAACCCCCAGTGAGACTTACAGAGGGAAAAATAGTCCAAACCAACGAGGATTAAAAATGCTTTTGCTAACAAAATTGTCAAATCAGATTTTAAACTTATAATTTATACTTCATTTTACTCAATATCTGGTTCTTCTCCTTGCAACTGGTCTCTTATTTCAAGGAAATTCTCCTTTGAAGGTATAGGACAAAACTTGCTTAAGATTTTATCAAGGAACTCACATTTAAGGAAGAAAAAAAATTAAAACCAAATATGCAAAGCCAAAGGAAACTATTGGAGAATCCTTCCAGTTCAATGCTGCAGAAAAGGCTCATCCTCTCATTAAAACCTCTCACTTGAGCACTTAAATCCTTGACATTCCTCCACTGCTCATAAACTGCATTATGCAACATCAGGTTTTGGATGGAAATGGTGTCACTAAGTATTTTTCCAGGGAGAAAACATGCCAACTTTAGGACACCAACACAGTTATATTTAGAGAATAAAATATTGGTTTTGCCCTGTATTTTACTTGTTTTAAATAAATTATCATTAACTCTGCCAGATATTTCAAATTCCTTCCTTCTAGTCACCCTGTATGGTTAGTTCTCTACTACAGGTAAAACTAAAAAAAAAGGAAAGTCACTGCATCATTTCAACGCAAATATGATGTAAGAGAGGTCAGGCTGGGCTTCCTAATTATTATTATTAATAATTGTATTGTTCCTACTTTGCTGACACCACAAAAATGAGTTGTGGCTGGTTATCTAACAGGGGAATCCCCTCAGCAAAGGCTGCACCGTAAGGTAGGAGTAAGTACTCATTAAAAATACCCTGAAATCTCAGTGTTCATTAGCTGATTATAGAGGCTGTGCGTGAGGGATTGCAGGCTGTGCTCAGGAGCACAATGCAGATCTTTAATATCACTGCTCTGAGTTCAAACACACACACGTTTTCAAATCTACTCTGCTAACTGCAAAAGGCATAATTAACGTTTTTAAATATCACCTGAACCACCTTCATCAAAACAATAATTAACTCCCATTCAGCCTGGAACTGAGGAAGTTAAAATAACACACAAGTCCTTCAACTTCCCTGCACTGCTGCATCCCAGCACTGGAATGTTCTGTAGGAATGTTCTGCTTGGAACCATTTCCCCACAGAGGCTGTGGATTCCCATCCCTGGAATGTCCAAAGCCAGGCTGGACAGGCCTTGGAGCAGCCTGGCATAGTGGAAGTGGTGGAATAAAATGAGCTTTAAGGTCCTTCCAAGCCAAACCATCCTGGAATTCTGTGACTGCTTGCTCCAGTAATGGATCTGGACATCCGTTATCCTTTCCTTACAACAAATCCCCAAGTGATACAAGTGGAAGACCAAAACTAAGCCAGTGGATGATGCACCAAAGACAAAATGAAAATTGCAGCAGATTTGCCAACACGAACACCCCCAAAAATGCCAAGGAAATGGGCAGCAGGAGGTCAAGAAGAAGTGCTGAGGACACAAAGCCCTGTGTCAAAAATCACTGTGTGTAAAAGTCAAATATCACTGTGTGCAACTACAGGGAGGATTTAAACTGGGAAGGAAAGAGGAGATCAAAAAACCAAGTTGCTGATGGACTCATCTATCTGACTAACAATTAACCCCATGGTTAGAAATCAGTGCATTGAGCCAGACTGACCCAAATTGATGCAGAACTGAGGGACAAGTGCTCAGACACAGCACAAACCTGGCTCACTTCGACCAGCTCCCTGGAGAGATCAGCTGCCAGCTGCAGACAGCTAAGAAACAATACAAGATAAGAAAAACACACAGAGAGGCTCTAAAAAACACACAGACCCCCAAAAAACACACAGAGAGACACCCAAAAACGCACTCAGATCTATCCCCATCTCAGATATCAACAAGCTTCACTATTTTTTTCATTATTTAGTCTAATATTAATTAAGTAACAGTGGAAAAAATCAAGTGTAAGGCTTTAAAATCACAGTGCTAAGTCAATAGGGTCACTTGCATCAGTCCTTCCTCTAAACATAATTTTGGGCTCTGTTGTCAGTCATTTGAACACTCACCTTGGTTATCTCAGTTTAAGTCAAAAAGACAAGTAAACGCTTGTAAAGCAGTAACAACAGCCAAGTCTCATTTCCACACTTCTCAGCTGGCTAATTACCAATACCACATCATTTTGGTGCACACAGATATCAATCCTGGCTAATCACCTGCTCACAGATATTTTTCAAGCTTTTTTTTTTTGCTCTTCCCCTGTTTCAACCACAGCAAAATTACCAGGCAGTGCTTTCCAGCTTCCTGAGCACACAGAGAGAGGAGGTTTTGATTGCTTTGGGTCACCTGGGATTGCAATCCTATTACAGGCAGGTTCAGGGAGATGTGACAGAGGTGTTTGAGTTTACTCACAATGAGCTCTGAGTCCCGTCCCATGGAAATCACAGTTCTGTTCACTGTCCTCAGCAGGTTCTCCATGATGATCTGCACATGGCGTTGTGTGGGGCCCTGAGGACGAGGAATAAATCAGTGATAGCTACAAACAACAGACAGCAACACAACTGAACCATTTGTGCTGCCTTTCGACCCACCTGTCTGGAGGAAATTAAGTAAAACATCACTTGCTGGTGATCACAAGGAGGGAATGGGTTTAACCAAGTGATATTTTGGTAATACATGTTCCCGATAAATTAAAATGTGCTGTTACAATGTCAATGGAAATGCAGCCTATGACATTTAGTTACCCATTAATTCCTTCCCCCAAGTCATTTTTCCAGCATCAAACCCCCACAGGCATTACCAGCCCTGGGGAGGGGGGGCTGTTCTGCAACAGCTCAATTAAAAGGAAGAGAAAAGCCAAGCAAAACTTTCATTAAGCAACTGCCAATTTCAGTCAATATCAGAAGCAATCTACCACTACTTTTAAAAGAGTTAAAAGGAAATACTTATTCCAGGCAGATTTTAAGGACAAATCCAGAAATCTCACACATAATGATGGGCAAAAAACAAAGCCACAAACACCACAAGGAGAAAGAAACAGATGAGCTTTGCTCCCATCTTTTACTTTATGGACAAAAAATAGATTTGCACATTTGAAGGACGATCCACCACCAGCACAAACTCACCCAGGAGCTGGTCCTGCTGCCAGGATCAGCCTGGGAGAGGGTGGAGCTGCAGGTGAGCCCCTACCACGGAGAGAAAATCAGCCAACAAAGAGAAACAGGAGCAGCCAAGCTGCCAGAACCAAATTCCTCCTGTAAAACAACTCCCACTCTGAAGCAGCCACACAGAGCTACTTCCAAAAACAAGCAAAATCAGAGCAAAACCCCAAAAAACCCAATTAAATAAGATGCCAGGGAGGATGTGAGGAGCTGACCCCTGAGGTCCTTTCCAGCTGAATTAGTGTATGATTCTACACAGCACTGAAGGTTCAGGCAGCAGCAGCAGCCCAAATTTCAGGAGAGCATCAAATCACTGCAGCTATCTGGCAAAGCAACAATATTTGTATGTTTGTTGAGGTCAAGAGAAAGCAGAAAAGAGACTATTATGCAAAAAAAGGGATATTACACATGCTGCATGTCTGGGAACCATGTCAGCAACAATACAACTCAAATGCACATTTCCCAAAATGCCCACGGGAGAAAAGAAAAACCACCAAAACACAACATTTTCCGCCTGGAAAAGGCCAGGCACAGTAAATGCGGAAGGTTTAACTCCTAAGGACATTTATTTCTTCACTGTCTAACCAGAAAAGCTGTACTGGATGTGCCTCAGAAAGAACAATGCCGTGCTGGATGTGACGTGTGAGATGCCACACAACAAACACATCCTCATCACTGCAGAACTGAGAGCTAGAAAAGGCTGGTTAGGAGGCCATAAAAAAGCAAAATAAAAATCTAAAGCTTCAGGAGTTACCTGCTTAATTCACTTTACTAAAACAATTTCTGTGAAGTGTTACTCATCACAGAGCCAGCCCACACTCACCACGTCTTTCTTGTAGAGCACTTCCAGGATGTTACTCAGCAACTGGCAGCAAGCCTCCAAATCTTCTTGTCTCTCCAAGTGATACTTGAGCTGGTCTGTCATTGTTGGCAGCAAGATTTCCCTGCAGTCTGCACACAAAACACGAGGTTACAAACACAGCTTTCAAGGCCTCCAGGCTGATGTGCTTCAGTGCTTACATAAGACACAAAAAAATCAGGAAAAATAAATTAACTTCCAGCTTTTCAACCCAAGCCTCGCCTCACCTTAAAAACTTCTGCCTCTGAATTGCTCCAACCTTTGACCATTTGCTGCTATCAAAAAAATACAAAATCCCCTTCCTTTCTCAAGAACTCAGACTGTTCCTACATGGAGGGAATCACCAAGTCAAAATTAATTCCTAATTATCCGTATAAATGTCAGCCCAATGAACAGCTTGGTTCTGCAGATCTGCCCCAGAGATGCTCTGTGATCACAGCCTTGTGCCTCTGCATTTGGGAAAGTTCAGGATATGCTGCTCCCTGAATTTTGGGCTAACATGGAAAGGAAACAGCAGATGAAGCAAAACCCCACAGGGCAGAGGGGTCATGTAGTGTGAACTGCCCCCAAATGCAGGGGAGGGGAAGAACCCCAAAGCCCAGCACTCCAGGAAAGGCACAGAACATGTCTTTGCAGAGCCTGCCAGGTGAATCAGTCTCTAATAACTTAAAAAGCCCCTAATTAGAGGGCTGAGAATGTTCCACAGCCCTGCTGAGCCCCACTGGCAGGGAGGGGGCAAAGATCAGTTTAATGTCTGAGTCACCTCAGAGTGCCACTGCAGTGCTGGAGCTGCTCTCATCAACGGGGGAGGCAGAAAAGCTGCATTTCTGAGAAAGGGAAAACTGATCCTGGGTCCCAGAGCTCGGTCTGGAATGACACAACCAGCACAGAACACTGTTCCCTTGGGTGGAGCTGACAGGGCTCCTCAGCTCCCACCTGGGGCTGCAGAGAAACATGGGGGGAACAAAACAGGCTGGGAACTCCCCAAAATCATCCCAAGGGTGAGGAGGAGCAGCTGAGGGAGCTGGGGGGGCTCAGTAAGGAGAAAAGGAGGCTCAGGGGGATGTTCTGGCTCTGCTCAACTCCCTGACTGGAAGGAATATTGAGTGAAAGACACAGGGAATGGCTCCCACTGCCAGAGGGCAGGGATGGATGGGATCCTGGGCAGGAGTTCCTGGCTGGGAGGGTGGGCAGGCCCTGGCACAGGGTGCCCAGAGCAGCTGGGGCTGCCCCTGGATCCCTGGCAGTGCCCAAGGCCAGGCTGGAGCAGCCTGGGACAGTGGAAGCCCTCGCTGCCCATGGCAGGGGTGGGATGGGATGAGCTTTAAAGATCCCTTCCCACCCAAACCAGCCCAGGATTCTGTGATGTTCCAACCAGCCCAGTGCTGTGGTGACACTCCCTAGACCAAGATGAGATTTTCAGGGCCTCTTTGCTATGAGCTGTTGTGAAGAACACTGAGCTGCTGCACTCTGCACTGATCACCTGGGAGCTCAGAGGAGCAGAGGGGAACCCTCACCACCCTGCCCGCCACAAATACCCCCAGCCCTGATTAACGGGAACCTTCGTGGTCCAGAACATCAGATCCTGCTCCCAAGGCAGCTCAGGATCTGCTGCACAGTGACCACAGACAATGGTAATTCCACCTCTGTTCTAGAGCAAAGTCCAGCCCGTGGTGATTTAAGAATATAATCAAACATTCATCTGTAACAAAGGATGCTCAGCAGGAATTACCAATTAGCAGCACCCAAGGAAAGCCTTCAATAAGCACAGGAGCTCTGCTGAAGGTGAATACACACCATAAATTTGTGTCAATAAAAACATTGTTTCCTGGGACACTAATAAATCCATTTATTTTATGGTTCATTTAGTTCATGTGGCCAAAAAAATTTAAGCTGTGCTGAGTAACTTTGTTTCCACTCCACAGCTTGTGAGTTGAGTCATAACTGAACAGTAAGAACTCTTATAAATGCTGGGTGTTGTCTACTAATATTCAACAGGCTCAAATTCCTCACGGAAAAATCCCTGGATTTTCTCTTTCGAACTCCAGCAGCTCCACAGCTCACTTGGCAATCAGCTGGAAGTCATTTGGAAAACAAAGCAACAGCAAACCCAAACATCTCCATAGGACAAAACCAATCAGACAAATCACTGTTTTATGTAAACCAAAACCTTGATGCTTGCAAGGACAGGACACTTCATTTAACTCCCAACCATGAGCACTGAAAATATCCACTAAATTATTATTAAACTGCTCCACACTCAGGGAAAAAATGTATTTATGCTTTTTTGTTTAATGTTTAAGTAGTGAAGTGAAAATTATATATAGAACAACATATATAATGTTATTATATGGTGGTAGGGATAAATAATATTTATATATTCATTTACTTCTGGAAAAGGATATATATTCATTTAAGGTTCAATACATTCAAAGTATTTATACATTCATTTACCTCTACTTTACTATATGGAAACATTGCTTATTTATATAATTACCACATGTTCCTATTTGTGTTTATAAACATGAACAAAACCACTATTATATTACTATTAAACTATTACTATTTTAACTATTATATTACTTTTTTTTAAGATACACAAACTCCACCACCAATCTCCATTCTGCTCCAAGGTCCCAAACTCTCCAGATTTCCCAGTGAATCATCCAACACTTAACAACATCACTAAATCAAAACGCTTCAGCAAACTGCTTCACACACTCCCTCTCACCCCCAAATCCTTCAAGCTTCACAAATTCATGTATTTTGAATTTTAATTCCTCTGGAGACACAAATAAATCTATCTTGACCTCTCAAAGCACAGAATTAGAGCCTTTTTTCTCACCCAGAAAAAGGCTGATGAAATTTTCTGTGCATTTGCCAGCCTTCCCTAAGTCCACAATCCTGTAGTGCATATTGCTTTTAGAAAAGAAAATCTCATTTTTGCAACAAGATCCAGGATTAGTTGACAGCTTATATGGAAGTATTCCCTATCAGCTGAAAATTCCTGAATCAATGAGAAGCAGGAGGGGCAGCCAACAACATTTTAGTACTGAACTCCAACCCACAGAGCGAGGGACAGGAAAATCTAAATTTTAAAAAGGCTGTGGATAGAGGTTTGATTTCTTTTCAAGTCAATTTGAGTGTTTATGGAAGTTTCCCAGCACCACTGAGGTTAAGACACAAACTTCAGAGAATGATCACGATGAAGAATTATGGTGAGAAGATCAGAGGGATGGAGCCCCTCTCCTCTTTAGCAAAGCCTGGGTGTGGCTCTGGGTGCCAGGGTTTAGCTGAGGTGTTGGGGCTGGGCTGGACTCCATGATCTTGACAGTCTCTTCCAACCTGGGGATTCTGTGATTCTGTGAATTCCTGTGAGGAAAGGCTGGGAGAGCTGGGAGTGCTCACCTGGAGAGGAGAGAACTTCAGGGACAGCTGGAGAGGGACTGGGGACAAGGGATAGAGGGAGAGGACACAGGGAATGGCTTTAAGCTGGAAAGGGTTTAAACTGGAAAAGGTTAGATGAGATACTGGGCAGGAATTTCTGGCTGGACTGGAATTCCCAGAGCAGCTGTGGTTCCCCCTGGATCCCTGGCAGTGCCCAAGACCAGGTTGGACACAGGGGCTGGGAGCACCTGGGACAGTGGGAGGTGTCCCTGCCATGGCACTGGATGGGACTTCAGGTCCCTCCCTACCCAATCCAATCTGGGATTCTGTGACACCAATGACAAGAGAAGATTTTAAGGCCACACTTTTTTTACTGAATAAAAAGCCCCAGACACCCATGGAAATGGTTTGGGTCAGTGCAGGTGCCTGGAATCCCCACCCCAGCCCAACCAAAGGCTGCTGGATTTAGGACATTCCTAACAGGCAGTGACAGGAAAACCCAGCTGAGGAGGCTCTTGATAAGATCTCAGAGCCATTAAGCAGCACGGATCTGTCAGCAAACCTGCCCTGGGCCCTGATTAATCACCCTCCCATTAACACAGATCCATTTGGATTTCTCAGCAGCTCAATAATCTTGGACTGCACCACTCCCTGCACTCTGAAGGGCTGAGTTTGGGAGTCAGGTTTATAAAACAAACCAGCCACACACAATTCCTACCCTTCCCTCTGAAAATGGAACTGCTTCAATAAGGGAGGGCAAAGATTAATATGGTAAATGCACCATAGCCTTTCTCAGGAGTGTGTTTTACACTCAGTTCCTTGTTTTAGCTGAGTTATCTCCATTCCTTCCTCCCAAGGAGAGTAAAGGATGATCCCTGATATTACTGACTTCTGCCCCAAAGTCCTGGCAACCTGAGAGCAGCCAGGAGAAGAGAAAATTATTATACAATGAGCTGAGAATGAATGAAGCAAATGAGTAACACTGATTAGAGCACAGCTCTAGACAGGAAATATTAGATCATTCTTGGGGGCATCATTTTACCCAGGCCCCAACACCACCAACTCCACTTCCATTCCTCCTTTCACTTGTTGAAAATCCAGCACTTCAGGGCTGAATAATTTCAAATCATTTCAGAAGTGAAGATAAAGTCAGGACTTGCCGTTTTCACCAAATTTCTGCACATGGTGACACAGGTGGTTAACTGTTTTTCAGAGATTGTAAGAGTGGTATAAACCATCACAATGCCAAAACACCAAGACTTTTTAAACTGGAACCAGCAAAATTTGTTTTATCAGCACTCAGCAGTCTCAGCTTTTGTGATCTGAGAGCACAAATCTCCTTTCCCACTGAAGCAGTGCCTATTTGCTCCCTCATTACCTTCCCTGACAGCACACAAACACTTTGCTGGGGTCAGTTTAACCTGCAGCCAGCCTGAAAAAGAATCAAGTGTTTCACCTCCAAGGAGGAAATCTGTAGGACAAGTGCCTGAGCTTATCTTTCACTGGCCCATTAATGGGAAAGCAGAAAATAACAAGGCATGGATGAACAGCACCCTCTGAAAGGTTTCTGCTTTCCTTCAGCCAGGGAACAGCTTCAAGGCACAGAGGACATCCAAAACCTCCATTTCCCCCACACCAGTCCAAAAGCTGAATTGATGATTTTTGACAAACCCCAACACAAAGTTACAACAGAGCCAAATAACCTGGCTGCTTTGTGCCCTTTTAAAATAACAAATCCCAAAGTTCTTTGTAATTTTGCACCTTCACTTCTTCACCACTTGTAACCTGCAGTCTCAATTAGGATTTTCCTCATGCCCAAGGCCAGGCTGGATGGGATTGGACCAGCCTGGGATAGTCAAAGGTGCCTGAGGGAATTGGAAAAACAGAAATTCCCACAGACACTGAAGGGTTTGGTCTGCAGCCTTGGAAGAAGCTTGGATTGATGTAAAATACAATACACAGATATTAAGCAGAAAAATCATAAACTTGTGTTTCTATAGCTGTAAGTAAGAATATGCCTTCAGTAAGTGAGAAACTGCACTGATGAGATGGTGAAGGGTTTCCAGTGGAGGGGTGGGGTTGTGTGGCATTACTGAGAGTTTAGAAGTTATAACAGAAGCAGATGTGTGCCTGTGAGACAGAAGCCCACTGGACAAAAGCATCCTCAGTGCAGCAGGAGTGAGTAAAGGTGACAGGTCAGAAAAGCAAAATAAACCCTGTGGCAACTGTCCATTGGGTTAGAAAGTTCTGTATTGCCTTGTGACAAAGAACTTGTGACTGCTCTGAGCTATGGCCGAGTGCTGGCTCCTCTGAAATCTCACAGCCTCTGAGACTGGTGTTTGTCTGAGCAATAAATCGTTCTTAGCCTGAAAATAGTCCCAGTCCTTGCTGGAGTTCTGGATGCTGAGAATTTCAGACTTTCTGGGCTGCCAGGCACTGACCCCCAGGAGAACTCTGCATTGACCTGAGGCCGTGGAGAAGGCTTCCAGAATTGATTGACAGCACTGGGATTGTGGGTGTGGAGTTGAGTATTAAGTGTGGAACATCACAGAGTGGAAAACTTGGAGTCTGGGGTTTTAGAATATAGCAATATATATGGGCAAGACAGAGGTTTTAGGGCAGAGGCTGGTCCTTCCTCTTCACCTTCTTCTCCATGGGTTTGGGTGGTATTTTGTTATTGGACAGAAAAGCCCACAGTGTGAACTTTGAGGGATCAGTTATTGGGTTAAAAGTGAAAATAATTTAGGTGTCATTTCTTAATTGGACAGTTTAGCCTTAAAAGACCTTGTAACAAGAGACAGTTGGCCATTTTGTGCCTTGCTGGTGAAAGACTGCAGAACTCACTGCTGTGAGACTGTAACACTGATAAGAAATAATGAACACCTGAGTCTGAATGCGAACTGTCCTCTCAAGTGCCTTCAATCCCAACCTCCACAGAGGAGGAAAAAGGAACCCAAAAACCAGCAATCCCTCCATTATTAGTGGTGACAATGACAGGTGCCCACCAACCCAAGGGCAGCACTGGATGGGCTTTAAGGTCCCTTCCCACCCTAACCACTCTTGGGTTTTGATTTTCCATCTTGTCCTTCCCATGGAACACCCTTAGCATGTCCAGGGATGGCAGGAGAGAGCAGGCAGGGGACAGGGGCAGGAGCAAAGGCTGGGACTGTGCCTGCTCACCGTGCTGGGTGAAGAGGTCGCTGTGCACGATCTCGATCAGGCAGTAGAGCTTCTGGATGGTCAAACGGCTCACGGGCACGTTGAGGATGAACTCGGTGAAGAGCTTGCTGCACACACAGGGAAAGCAAAAAACCATTAAACAAAAGCAAAAATCCACAAAATCTACATAATCCATCCAAAAAACCCATGGAAAAACAACTGGACACAATCATCCATAAAGAACCCGACACACAACTTCCTGCTCTAGGATGAGCAAACTCAATTGTTTTGAGATATTTAAAAAAAAATAAAAATCAGAGAATCATGACCAGTTGTCAACAAATTTCTTTAGCTTTTAATGTAATTTCTTTTGTCCCTTCCCTTTTATCTCAGTTTAAGACTCTGTCCGTGTCACACTTAAGGTTTTAGGTATCAAGTTTTCCTTGCCTGTCCTTCACGTCAATCAGCACGTTGGTGATTATGGATGCCAAAAAACATTGTAAGCTACCAACAAAAAAATTAATAATTAAAAAAAAAAACCCAAAAATTGACATTTTTGGATAAGGCACCATCACACTCATCAGCTGAGCTCTCAGCTAGTATTGTCAAGACTCTTCAATAATTTTCCATCCCCTCCTAAAATCTTGGGTTCTTTGCTTTTCCTATTGAGATTTAAGTCAACCTCATTTTAAATACTCCCAGTATTTAACTGCCACTTGTATCGGTAATACCATCGAAAAAGTATAATATTTGGGCTAAAACAGGCCAAGTCCTGCATCTTCCTTTCTCTTTTCTCAAGAATTTTGCTGTCACATACCAAAATTATTATTTAGTCCAGAAACTCTACAATTCAGATTTCCTAAGCCAGGGAAGTGTAGATGTAAAATAATTCACAGTCCCCAGGCAAGCAGAAGGTAAATTCCGGGCTCCTCAGGCCACTGGAATGTTGGATTAAGATTATATTTATTTATTTTACCCCTGCTTTATCTCTTTTCCTCCTTCTGACATATCAAGACCATAAAAATAAAGCCAGACAAAATTTACAAGGGTTTGTGCAGTAAAATCAGATTTTATATGTCTTTTTTTCAGTTTGTAACAGCACCGTAAAAAAAAAAATTATATTTTTCTCTTTATGCTAAAAGTTCTGCTGAAATACCCATTTTTATTTGGTTTTTCCACTGTTTTTTCCTTCAATATCCTGTTATTGTCCTTTTTATTTACTAACAACACTGCCATGTTTATGACCTACTGAGACATCGATCCAGCAACTGAATCACTGAATTATTTATTATGTTATTATTTACATGAAATTTAAACTTGAAAGAGTGAAGCATCATGGTACAGCTTAAGAGTTTTGATGGCAGCTGCCTGATGATAAATATCTCTTGGTAATGGTTTCTACTGCAAAGTTTGTCAGGTATTTGTTAGACATTATTAAAAAAAAAACAGGCTCTTTGTGTAACCCTTAAAAATACCTACAAGGGACAAAAAAAATATGCAATAAAACCAAAGTGATAAAACTTCTCAGGTGATCCATATTTCACTGTCTCAGTATATATTTCTATACTTTTATATATTCTTCTATCTTTATATATATAGTAGTAACATGCAAAAATGAAATATACAGTGTATGTTTTTATCCTTATATATATTATATTTATTTTATATATTTGTGTGCATATTTTATATATAGCTTTATAAAATAAAATTAGCACTGCACACTTAATTAACTCCACTCACCTGAGCTCCTTTGGATCAAACACTAATTTCACGTCATTGACAATTGCTGGCAAGTATTTAAGTGCTGCACCCTAAAAAAAAACCACCAAAAACCCCAAATTAACAAACTTAAAGTCTTTAAAGGTGATGCAAAGACTGCGAGAATCATCCACAAGGAGGTGGCTTTGGTTTCACCATTTTCTGTGACACCTGAGCTGAAACTCGGCAAAAATTAAACTTTGAAACAGATTTAAAATAAGACAGAGGCATGAAATGTTCATAAACTCAGAAAACTTAAGACCAAAATTAGAGATTTATATGCTCCTTCCAACATTTTATAGAAACCTTTTGGTTCCTCTAATCCCTTTATCCCCATCTTCTGTTGAGCACTTTCTCATCCTCCTCCTCAACCATGCTGGAGTTGTTTGGGTTTAATTTTCACTCCACTGCTTAAAAATTAAACAAAAACCCTAATTAGCATTTTTTCCCTGCAGTAAATTCTTGGTAGCCACTCATGAAACCCGGGCTCTTCCCAATTCCCCTTGAACTCGCAGCCGCCACTGCACAGCACATGAAAGAGCTCGGAAGATACAAACAGATGTTTAATATTTTAACTGTTTGTAGGGATTTTTAGTCATTCTATCTTTTTTTAGGAACAATTTGTAGGTATTGCATGCACTGAGCATCAGACTAGCTAAAAAATCTCAGAGTAATTGAAATAGAAAGCAGAACAGCCAGACTTGTCTGCCTCACCTTGCGTTTTATCAATTAAATCAAATTGTTTGATAACAGGTGTATTCTTGCTTGAGAAGAGGCAGGGTTGGATGGGATACTGGGAATGAGGAATTGTTCCCTAAGAGGGTGGGGAGGAGCTGGGATGGAATTCCCAGAGCAGCTGTGGCTGCCCCTGGATCCCTGGCAGTGCCCAAGGCCAGGCTGGACACTGGGGCTGGAGCACCTGGGACAGGGGAAGGTGTCCCTGCCATGGCAGGGGTGGCACTGGGTGTATTTTCAGATCTTTCCAACCCAATCCCCTCTGTCCCTCTGTGATGTGAGAAATGATTGTATTTTACACCCCCCAGCCTGGACACACATTTATTTCCCTTCCCAGGTGTTTTTTACAGGTAGTAGAGCCACAGGAGAACAGTCTTGAGGGGCCAACACAAACCCAACTCTGTTCTCACCCAAGAGCTCCCCTTTCCTACCACAACCCCTGTCCCTCCACACCCAGCCCCCGAGCTCTCCAAAGCAACAAATCAACGCTTTGGTGACACCCAAGGAGAACCTCAAGAGGCCACCAAGGCAGAGACCCCTCCCCAAAGGGAACCCCCAGCCTGTCCCTGGGCTGGAAGCAGATTTCAGCATCCAATTCTCAGCCACAATCCATTGAGGCTTCAAGCTGGGCCATCAACCATCCCACATCTGCTGGAAGGACTCCTGAGCTGCATGGGGACCCTGGAATTCTGCAAAGGGAGCTGGGATGGGTGAGGGCTCTAATGACCAGTCAGGAACACAGGCAGGAATGGGGGTTTATTTGCTGATCATTCACACGCACGGAGCCATAAATGTTTAGTAACACATCTTAAAAGGGAGCTTGCATTTTATATCTTGAATTAAAATTTCACACGCAGCGTAAAAATTAACACTTGAATGGCTCTCATGAACTACTGTGGGGCAAAACTATTTACAACAGCCATTTACAGCTTGGAGCTGCAACAATTAGCAGTAACCGAGCGTCTACTTTATGGACAAACAAATTAAAGTTTAATTCTGAAGATTTAAAGAAGATTGTGGAAATATATTTCCCAATTTCCCACCTCAGCTGGCTTGATTACATGACAAGATGATCAGACTATGAGGCTGTGCAGCCCCGTGATTAATTCTGTATTTGTCCAAGGCAAAGGGCTACTAAAATAATTTTTTATTGGTATTAAATCAGGTAGAAGGGCAGCTCTTGCTGTAGATCTTACTCTGCTCAAGCTGCAGCTGAAGTAGATTTTCTGTGAGCAGTAGCTCCACTGCAATTCTGGTTATTCCCAGGACACTGCAATGCATAAATGAGGAATATGAAATGCAGCAGATGAAAAAAAAACCTGCTCTTGTCTTTCCATAGAAGATTAGGAAAAAACAAATAAGCATCTGGTTTAAGGGGGTTTTCTGCCATTTAAAGAAATTAAATTAATTACTTTTCTCTCTTGATCAGCACTGGACATAAGTCCCAATTCCTCATGTCTACAAGAAGCACACAGCAAACAAAGCCCAAAATCTTAATTCCATGGTTACACAGGGATGCCTAAACTACTTGAAAATTCCAAGCAGCATTAAAAAACCACAGTAGTGAGGAACCTCAGTGTTCACTCCAATGGTTTTCTGCAGTAATTTCCCTGTGATCACACGAGAAGCACACCCAAAGCTGGAAGGATCAGTCTCACACACGCACTCAATAATTACACACAGTTTCAAGCTGGGCTGCAATAAAAATCTGAGTGCCCCAAGGGGCTTCTCTCTTTGTGCAAAACCAGTGACAAATTATTCCCACTCTTATCAAACCACAAAAATCAGTCATTTCCAGTCCTACAAAGCACACAAATACAGCAGCAAAGGGGAAGGATGAAAAAGAGTGAAAGCAGCAATGACCCAGAGTGTGGCATAAATAATGGATATATTCTCCCCGAGCTGAATCTCCTCGTACACTCACTGTTCTGTTGGCTGTGGGGTGTTATTGGGATTTTATTTTCTTGCCCAGGCTGCGATTCACGTGGCTCAGCACGACATCAGCAAGGCCATGGCAGCCTGCAGCCAGCTCAGAGGTGTTGTGGCTCATCCTCTGCATCCCAACCACACACACATTGATTTCCCCTTCCTGAACACCACAGCTGTGTGTACAAGGAATTATTCCACAGGAAGCACGGGAAGAACCATGAGATGACATTCCCTCTGAGGAGGAGCTGCCAAGAGAAGCCATGGAGCTGCTCAGTGCCTCAAGGATACCTTTAAAAACTGTGAAAAAGGCAATTAACTGGGCCAAGAAACACAACTCACTAAGTGAAAATACTCAGGGCCAGAAAAGTCAAAGCTTTGCCTTAAATGGAATAAATTAAGCAATAATTGATGGGCACAGCTCTCTGCACAGCCAATGCAGGGATGGCAATTCCCAGGATTTATCCTTCCAGGGACTAATTGCAACTCGTTCCCTAAATCATCCCAACCTGCTCTCTGTCTGCACCCTTTGATAAATTTCAGATAAATTCATTGATGGGCTCCTAATGACTTCACAGCTAATTGTGTTCTCCTCAACTTCTCCACAACTGGCAGCCAAATCACATTGGTGTGGAAGGAACAAATGCAGTGTTGGTATAAAAGATCATTTGAGTGCAAAAACCCTTCAGATGTGGTAAAAAAAACAAAAGCCAGAATGAGTAATATCAGCAGCAATGGAATTGTTATTTCCGACAGTGGCCACATCAATGACAAGTCCCCTGCACTGCCCACACTTCTCTTTTCTCACTGATAGTTCATTTCCAGACAGGAAATGAACCAAAAATGGGTAAAGAATGGGATCTACCACCAGGAAAATTAGCACATTGCCCAGATCTAAAAGTTCAAAGAGTTTTATGGCTAAAAGTTTAGCTGAATTATTTATCCTGATTCTCCAAATGGAATTTTTCCTGCAGTTTTTTGCTGGGTGGGGAAAGCCTCAAAAAACTTCACTTTGACACTTCCATTTTTAAATAAGAGTAAACTTCATTTATTTATTGGGACAGCATGTGGTACAACTTCTAAAACTACCAGGAGGAGCTGCTTTCAATGAAATTTCTGGAGTTTTTAATTTCTTCACAAAAGGATTAGAGGACAAATAAAAGCCTTTTCTTTGTGTCATCAGGCAAATAAAAATACATAAGACAGGGAAGCCTAAGTACCTTAAAGTACTTCTGATACAATTTTGGGTTACAGATAGAAAAATGAGTTTTACTCATTTACTTTTGTTACAGAGTTGAGAATATGGAGAAATCTCTTAATACAAAAGTGAAATCACCTGTGTGATAAATACAGTAGGTCACTGGTGAGTGAAAAGCAAGCAGGACAGAAAAAGAATCTTGTAACAATGGAAAATTATCCCATTATTGGGTTTATAAATGGAATGACCAAAAAAAAAGTGTCACAAAAGCTCCTCTGCAGTAGCTGTTTAGATAAAAACTAACTTAAGGTTGTCATTAGATTGACCAAATGACATTTGCAAAGTATTAAACAAAATGTATTCTGAGCAGAACACCACAGCTCTTTTTTTTTTCCTGGGGTTTAAGTTCAGCTCTTTGTAGTCCATAAAAGCAAAAAAAAAAGCTTAATTTAAAACTGTCATTTTCCAAAGCCATTTGTTTCCATCAGTATGCCTGGACTCCAAATTAAGTACAAAAACCCTGTGCCAAATACATGATATTCTTCTGAACTCTTTTGTTTGACAAAGCAATAAATTTGTTTCACCTGACTCCATTTGAGAACATTATTTTAATGTTAATTTTCATCCTTTGTGCCATTCAACAAAGCACCTCCCTTCCACCCCAGCATTATCTTGGGTGCCACTCCATTAAACTCATCCAAACCAAATGAAGCCCAGTCAGCAGCTGCATCAAAAATATCCAGGAGCAGCTAAACTCTATTTGAGATTTGCCCCAGACTAGAGCAGCCCACAAACTAAAGCAGTTTTTATGCCAGTTGCAAAGCAGCACCTCTGGCACTAAATTCAGTGTAAAACAGCCCAATTTCAGGCTAAAAACCAGCCCAAATTCAGTGTAAAACAGCCCAATTTCAGGCCAAAACCCAGCCCAAAGCACAATCACCTAAAAACCAGCCCAAATTCAGTGTAAAACAGCCCAAATTCAGGCCAAAAACAAGCCAAATTTCAGGCCAAAAACCAGCCCAAAGCACAATCACAAATAAAAATCTTCTGGAGATATTTCCCACGTGGGTTCTAAGAGACACAGAAACCTCAGTCCACAGTTGCATTTTGTTACTCAACTCAGCTGATGTTTAAAAAGAATTCCACCTGTTGGAAAAGCCCTGCAGATTAACAAAGTCTCTTGTTTTCTTCTCA